ATTTCAAGTAGATTCTCTGAAAATTTAAGAGAGTGATTCTGCTGGCATTTGTACTTTGGTAAAATCACAGGGAAAATGTTTTCTACAGTTTTAAAATATTAAAAAATACCTAAAATATAGAATCCCTCCCCCTTTAATTCTAGATTGAAATGGATTCAAATAATATAAAAACAGTAAAACTGGGTACAACTTGGGATATTTGGGAAATAGAAGTTTTTGTCTGCGTATGTAAGCATTTCTGGTAACCATGAATGTCTACTTCTCTCATTGTAATGAGAGATTTGGTGGTCCTTGTGTATAATTCAGAATATTACCATACCAGAGACATTCTTTATAGCCCTCTTTAGTGAAAGGCATTTTCTGCCACTGATGTCTAGGCTGAGAATTGGGTGGCGTTCTCTAGTTCCTAGTTTGGCTGCTGTAGAAGGAATTGGAGAATGTTAACAAGAACATAGTATAATAATTGTCACAAGAGGCTAGAAGGGAACAGGGTATATTTGAAGAAAATGAAGAGGTCAAGAAATAGAGGTTTTGACGGAGAGAATGAGAATGGAAATGAGTGAAGAGCTTGAGTATCAGAGAAGCTCAAACTGATCCAGTAGAGGGCAGGATTCCTAGCTGGTGCTCCTGTTACCTTGTTTCCCACCATTTTGCTTGAGATATTTGCAATGGGTAATGGTAGCCTGAGCCACCGGTACCACAGCTCCCACCATGCTTATGATATGGGCACAGGGGGCTTCCAGGTGACTTATGAGTAGCCTGTCAGGACCAAGCCTTGATGTCAAATTCTGTTTGCATTTATATTAACCAGATTCAACTACATACCCTCACCCAGTAAAAAGGGTGGGTAAGGAAGAGAAAAGCAATTTAAAAGTTGAGGCTTAGCCAGGGGTGAGCATAAATTGAGAAACTCTAATTTGATGTTCCTGTTTGGTTGCAACTCACTGAAGAGTGTGTGATTATAGAATTTATATGCTGAAAAATACATTTTATATGAATTGCATAACTGCACATATTGTGCATTTCTAATATAAATGTGGTGGTAGGGTCGATTGTTTACATAAAACAAGTTTTAATTTTGTAAAGAGTGAGTTTTCATTTGACTTTAAAGTCCCAGCTAAATGGGACTCCAATCCCATTTAAAATTAAAACTTACTTAATTTTTTACAGAGTAAGTTTTCATTTGACTTGAGTCCCAGGTAAATGGGACTCCAGTCTAGTTTAGAAGTCTGTGCTGTCGTGTTTGGCTCTGCTAGGTTCAGGGACTTTTTTTTTAAGACAGAATCTCACTGTGTCTCCCAGGCTGGAGTGCAGTGGCGTGATCTTGGCTAACTGCAACCTCTGCCTTCTGGGTTCAAGCAGTTCTCCTTCCTCAGCCTTCCAAGTAGCTGCAATTACAGGTGCCTGCCAAGCTTTTGTATTTTTAGTAGAGACGGGATTTCACCATCTTGGCCAGGCTTATCTGGAACTTCTGACCTTGTGATCCACCTGCCTCAGCCTCCCAAAGTGCTGAGATTACAGACGTGAGCCACCGCACCCAGCCGGTTCAGGGACTTTTGGTCACATATTTCAGACTATTTTAGGAAGATGAGGGCAGTGCCACAAAAAAGATATGAAAGATTAGTTTTGATAGGGAGACGTAATCAGGGCCCAGACTCTTATGGCAAGAGGTAAAGGAAGCAATGAAAAGCATTCATATTTGAGCCTCAATCTGTTTCTTTGCCCTTAGAAAATTTATTAATTTGTTAAGGACTAATACTAAAGTTTGGGAATAGGAGAAGTGTCCTTAGTGTTGTATTTCTCCAAAATTTAGGATTTGTGTATAAATGCGAATTTTCTTTGGTTAATGTGTTAAATTTTCTTTGGTTCTACAAAATTCATTTTGCTCTACTGGTAAGGTAACTTAGTAATAATGCTGGAATTGTAAGGAAAATTATGGTTTACTGTTGTCATTTTGAAGTTACCATATTATAGGTAATCATTAAGACCCAATAATTAGATGATACTAAACTTGAAAAGAATTTAAGGAAAACCAACCAGTTTTCATATAACAGTTTTTAAATTTCTTGAGTTCTTCAAGGGAATTTAATTGTTGAGCACCTTTATTTATAGACACATGTACTCTTACATATTGTGCTATATTATGTAGATTCAGCTATAAATAGTGCTTAATCATATTAATGTGATTCCTATAAAATTGAGTTACTAAATTGCTATAGATGGGTATGTTTGTTTATAAACACCATGCTATATTATGTAGGTTCATCTATATGTAAGTGCTATAAAAATTTCCTGTGTCCAAAAAAATTACAGATGTATCACCAGATGCTTCCTTTGGCCAAAATAAAATTACAATAATGTTCCCTCTAGATGCTTGCCTTTGAGCAAGTCTTGCTGGGAACTCTCAAGACACCATATTTTGTCACCAATCTACATGCCTTTTTCACATACTTTTATTCTTAATCCTGTTTCGTTTTCTACCTTTAAGTCCTGAATTAGCTTCTTTTTGATTTTGCGCTCTATCCCTTTTGGAAATTTTCTTTTTCCCACCACCACATTGCATCCTCTGAACCAAGAGTGGAGTTAAACTATATGGAGCCTTCCCAGCCGTGTGTCGCTGTTTTTGCCCTTTGTCGTGAACTGTGCTTGTGAAGAACTGATTAATAATTTTATTGATTGGTTTGGACATTGCCTTCTCATAAAGAGAAATTACCAGCTTCTGAGTCTGGCACCTTACCATTAGTTCATTTTTTTTCATCTCTGGTAAGGAACAAATTTTGGTAATTTTTGCATTTGTACTACAAATGTCTGACAAAGAAACTTGTGGTATGCAGGACCCTAAAAACTTACCAGCATTTTTTAAAATTTCTGAACTGTCCATTGTAAATTAGCACCTCCAAAACTGCAGGGTGACTTATGTTCTCTCACCGTCCCCATCACCTACGCCTCATCAATGCAAATCACATTCACCTGTATCTATGCCTTGGAGATGGCTACGTAGCCTGAGCTTGGTCCTATCCAGAACCAAAGAACCTCTCAGTGGAAACTTGTAATGAAAACCTGGTACCTTTTTTAGTTAGTATCAGCTTACTTTGATCCACCAGAAGGGAAATAATTCCTTACTCTCCACTCCAAGTATCTATCAGATAAAAAGTTGTATCTGTCCCATCATAATTAATACAGAAATGTTTTTTATTATCTGATACTTTAAAGTCTAGTTCTGCAAAAGTTTATCTTATAGTTGAGTACACAGTACCCATACTACCTTATCAGAATAGTATGTCCAAGGCATCATCTTCATTTGCTAGTATTTCACAGTGGTATGGGAACTGGTAATTTTTAAAGTCATGCAGCATTTTCCAGATTGATATTTTTATAAATGTCTTGCTAATTGCTGTTTTCATTTTAAAATTATTTTTCCTCAGAAACCCACAATCTGCCAAAGCAACCTCCACTTGCCCTAGCAATGGGACAGGCCACACAATGTCTAGGACTGATGGCTCGATCAGGAATTGGATCCTGTGCATTTGCCACAGTGGAAGACTACCTACATTAGCTATGCATTTCAAGAGCTCACACTTATATTGTGGCATATAGTCAACATGGAAGTAGACCAGCTCTGCTGATTTGAAATTTAGATTTTTTAAATTATGTACTGGGGACAGGTTTTTGTCGCTTTACATTGCTTCCTAGTTTACAGCATGATGCAAATGATTTTCTAACTTAGTGTTAGGAGAAATTATTTTCCATCTTTAACCTCTTAGTTGTCTAAGAGTTAAATATTACTGAATTTCAGACGTTCTAATTGATCATCACAAATCCTTTAAAACAATTACCTAAAAGAAACCAAAAATCCTGCCTTCTTTGTGGGGGAGGGGGGAAAGAGGGGAAGGAAATGGAACAAGTTGTGTTTGTGTTAGCATGTGGGTGATGTAAACTTCAAATTGGGAGATGTTCCAACCCCCGCTCCCATATAAGCATTCAATCAGTGTAATTTGCAAAATGCATAAACATCTGACAGTTTGAATTTATAGTGTTGATGGAAGAAATCATTTTTAATGTGTACTGTAAAACTTGAAATACTCAGGAGCTGAGTGAATATGTTTGTTGCTACTTACAATCCCAACCTGTTAGTCCCAGTAGTTTTGTTTTAACATGGTCTTTTTCAGCTTTGTTTCCTGTTTAACTACAGATGACTTCTGTTGTAGACTCACTCACAAGTTTAACTGTTGTATTATAACAGTATTACATGTCAACGGTGTGGTTATGACCTTTATTTATATAAAAACCAAATATTTAGTCAATTTACTGTGTCTTAATTTAATCTTTGTACACCTTCCATTTTTAAGTGCTTAAATGAGTACTATATTGCAATAAAATGTAGTGATATAATTAACCAGCCATTAAAAATTACTTCTACAGATACAGTGTCAGTTGAGTTTATATATTAGATACCTGTGTACTTTTTATGATTAATATGAAAATTAGAACAATTAAAATTAATGGTTTCTACAATTAATCTGAGTTCTACAACCTAAAACTGCCTTCGGTTTACTGGCATCCCTAGATTAGGGTTAAACCTGATACTGTGGGTGACACAGAAAGGCAACAGGAAATTAACCTCATGATTTTCATATTAATAACATGGCACATGAGACTCACCAGGCAAGCAAATCCCCAGACTGGTTGAAAGTAAAATTTTAAAAGCTGTTAGTCAACTGTATATTGTACACTGAATCTTTAAGAACAAATACCTTAAGGGCTGCAGTTTAGTTAGAGACTTTTCTGGAATGTCCATTTCTCCTTTTTGTCCTTGCCATTCCTGCCACCTCCCAATGCCCCAAGGGGGCAGAGTAGAAGAGGTGCTGTTGCTGGTGTGGGTATGGCTTGAATTCAGTTAAACTTTTTTTCTCTAGGATTGCCAACACAAGGCACAGTTCTCCAGAAGAATGAAGTGTGGTTGAGTATTTCCTCAAATAAGTTTATGATTCTTATAGTGATCCTTTAAAATGATTTATGAATGATTTATTAAATTCTATACATACAGATTCTTCATTTAGCTTTGATTTACTTCTTAGTTTTCATCTTTCTGACCATCCACCGTCTTTTAAACCTCTTGGCATTTTGTTTTTTCTGGATTCCTAGAATAGAAAGTTTTGTGCAGTAAGAATATTAGAGAAACATAATTCAAAATGTTTTTATAATTCTCTATATGAATGTAATTACTAAAACTGGGTGGGCTTATTAGATCATACATTTTTTATATATATATATACATACATACACTGACCTATTTTTCACAAGTAATATATGAGCTGTTGTAAGGGGAAAAAGTATAATTATGAACTATCTCCTTCAAAAGAACATTATTCAACAAGCTATTAGAGACAGGAGAATAAAACTGAACTTACCCCAAGCATTATTCAAAAACTGGACAGCAGCCCTTTTCACTGGTAACCTCTTGTTAGCAAGAGACAGGAATTTATTTACTAGAAAAGAAAGGCATTATCATTTCATTGTTTTATTTGCAGTAAAAAGTGAGAAAAAGTCCATAAAAAATTACCTGTAGTCCTGTTAGTTCCTGGCCCATATAAAGAATTATGGATGAAGGCTTGTGCTGCCTGTTGTCTTGCATCTCTCAGATCTTGGTCTTTTAGCCTCACGGCCAGGTAGCTTTTATTCTGGCTGTTGATCAATATAAAAGGTTAAAATAAATGAAAATTATAGATGCTTATTTTTTTTTTTCCCCTGAAATGGAGTCTTGGGCTGGAGTGTGCAGTGGTGCGATCTCAGCTCACTGCAACTTCTTCCTCCCTGGGTTCAAGCAGTTCTCCTGCCTCAGGCTTCCAAGTAGCTGGGATAACAGGCAACTGCCACCACACCCAGCTACTTTTGTATTTTTAGAGATGAAGTTTCACCATGTTGGCCAACTGGTCTCCAACTCCTGACCTTGTGGTCCGCCCACCTTGGCCTCCCAAAGTGCTGGGATTACAGGCATGAGCCACTGCACTCGGCCTACCTGCTTGCTTTACAAATAAAATATTTTTGTCATTTGTCTCATAGTGATAAAACTAACTATGTGTATGCAGATAGGATAAAACTAACTTACAGGACTTTTAAGAAACAGACTAACACTCATATTTTAGTAGAGTACATTCTTGGATCAACTGAACAAACTGCCGTTCAGATGTACTCAACTGAAGAACTTGTCCCTGGACATTTATACGAAAAACTCAAAGCGAAAGTCAAAACATAACATTAGTTAACAGGAAATTTTTCTGATATGCATAATAAGAGAGAACAGAAAGCATGATTTCCAAATCAATTGTGCCACATAAATTTGGCCAAATGAAAGTCCAACATATTGTGGTGAATTCCTCGCATGGTCTTGCACTTTGCATTTGTTTCTATATTTGATCTTGTGGCTAAAACACCGAGCAAGTGATGATTTGGTCCACCAACCTGTATTGAAAGCAACTCAAAACGAATGCCTGTGTACTTCAAGACATTATAAACATCGTCCATAGTATGAACCAGAATTTCAGTAACAGCAATAGCCACTTTCTCTGTGACTTCTGTAAACCGTTAAGAATAGAAGATAAAGCCATATTGTCAAGGAAATGTTGAATTTTGTGAAAAATGACTCCTTTTGAAGAACTGCCAGGACTGGCAATAGTAGTGAACGCCTTTCCATTAGAATGGCTGTCTTCGCAATGGCACCATGCACCATAAAGGTTGGTGACTAGAGGAACATCCAACAGCCAGACAGATTACACTGCCTCAAGAAGTACAGGCTGGCACGTTTGGAGTGCTGACAGTAGGCCCCAGTTTATCTTGAAATAAACATCTATCTATTGGGAGAGGTGAAATGAAAATTTTCTCAATAATAAAACCACTAAAAAAACGTTTTTGAACTTAACTTGCAGCACCTGCAAGGTCAAAGTATTCAACTGATCTTTTTTATAAAAAACAATTTTTTTTTTGAGACACGGTCTCGCTCTGTAGCTCAGGACGGAGTGCAGTAGCACAATCTTGGCTCACTGCAGCCTCTACCTCCTGGGCTCAAGCGATCCTTCCACCTTGGCCTCTGGAGCAGCTGGGAATACAGGTGTATACCAGCATGCCCAGCTTACTTTTTAAATTTTTTATAGAGACAGTTTTACCGTGTCACTCAGACAGGTCTTGAAATCCTGGAATTAAGCAATCCACCTGCCTCAGCCTCCCAAAGTGCTAGGATTTGTAAGTGTGAGCCACCACACCCCAAACTGATTTTTCCAGAGAATCCAATCTGAAATTAATAACTAATTAAAATACTTTCTCATATTAGCCAATACTTTAACTCTCTTAAAGGTCACCTTTACATCCCAAATGAAACAAAAGACTCATTACCTGACAGACTGTACTTTCTGTACTTTAACTTTCTTGGAGTCATTTCCTTTTCCACAGTCTTCATTTTTCTTTTGCAAATTAACTAAAAAAATGAATTACATTTTCTAGTTAGAATTAATGTAAAAATAAATCAGGAAATTTGCTGGCGTTCACTTTAAGCATCCACTACACACCAATGTGGATGCAGTTTTTATTGGTAAGACATACAGGGAACAGGCTCCAGCTAACCTTGGCCAGGCCCCTGCTGTCTGAGGGCCATCCATATTTGACTGGAAACATCTGCAAATGCACTTGACACTTACATGAGAAGTTACTTAAATCAGCAATAGTCATACCTTCTTTCACCTTTCCTGGCGATTTCTTTATGCTAAGGGGAAAAAACAAAACCAATGACTGGAATGGCAGATGGCAAAGGTTCCTCAAAACATGTTATACTATTTCATCTGGCTTTACAAGACACCCCCTTTCATTACCAACATCTCCATTTCTAGTCAGGAGCTCTCATCAGTTCGGACAGCAGCAGTCACTCCTCGGTACAACTGCCACCAATGCTCAGTCAACAAACCAGTATCACTAGGATTGGCAGATCTTCATAATTCAGATCTGAAAGCTTATTAGCAAGCTTTAGAAGCAGCAAAATGCTATGGGCAATGGAATTAACGTGAAACACTTAAGTTATACCGTATTTGAAATATGATGTGAACGGTACCAGGCCTGCCTCATTTCATTTGGGGAAATCACCAAGGATTAATTGAATACTTTAGGTACAGGAGACAGGGAACAGCCTTAAGGGGTCCAATGGAGAGAGAAATGTAAACAGACAGAATACAGCACAGAATAATAAAATACAGAAGTGCTTGCACAGAAGAAAGGCCACATGAAGGCGGAAGTGATGGGAGGTGGAGGGGGTAGCAAATGAGAAGGCAGAGGTGATACTTGAGCTTGGTTTTAAAAGATGAAAGGGAATTTGCCACCAAATAGATTTGCTTTTATGTTTATTCAAGTACTGAGTAACTTTTTGGTAAAGTTTTTTTTACTGAAAATTTGAGAGCCACTGGCCTAAGTGGCTAAATTTCTAAATTTAAAACATTAAGGGGAAAGAAAGAGGATAGAAAAAAATATACAAATATTTAGAAGGCTAAATTTAGTAGGGTTTGACTGATTTCCAAGGACGACTATAGCTTTTGGCTTTAAACCATAAAACACCAAAACTGCTCAATGAAGTGAGGAACAAGGAGGAAGGGCAGGTTGGTGGCAGGTAAGGCAAGTATGGGACAAAATTGAATTTTCAGAAAAGTAATACATTTCAAAACACTTTTATTCACCACCATCTACTCTGCCCTAGTATAATGACAGGCAGTCAACAAAATGTACTGAATGAACACATGGGATCAGGAATTCAATAGCTAGCTATGCGAATGAACAAAAATAAATGGCAAAATAAGAAGTGAAATGTTACCTCCGTCTTTCCCCCCAAATTCAAATACCAAGGTAGCTGTTAAATCTATAATTCCTTCAGTTATTGGATTCAAATAAATGTACCAGTATATAATTCCAAGATGAGTGTATATAAGCAAGTAATATAAGAAGATTAGTTACTTACTTAGTCTGGGAAGCTGTGGTTAACTTCTCTAAAATAGTGTCTGGAAGGAGTTTTCTTTTCTTAGGAGTGTAAACGTTTAAAATTAATAAAAAGTCATGTACATGATACGTCCAGAGTTGCTTCTGAAGTTACCACTTTTAAGAATAACCCTACATCTAGGCAAAGAAATGAATTAGGCTGGATACTGCCCCCACTACCTCCAAGCTATGGGACTGGGTCCACAAAACTCAGGACCTATTCCATATTCTCTCAAAGACTTGATGAAAAGTGGAAAGAGTGCTCACAGTATTCTAACCCTCAAGTCACTGTTGTAAATTGAAAGCAGTTAAGTAATATCCACTTGGAGCCAGTGCTGTGTGGCGAGTACGCATCAGACAGCAAAGCAGCCATACACTATGTCTGTCCAGTCCTTACAGTTTACAAATCGCCTCATTTAATTTTCACAGCAACCTCCGATTTTCAGTTGGTAGACAGTAAAGAAGACGGGCTTTTTTTTTTTTTTAAGATTGAGATAGGGTCTGTCTCTGTTGCCCAGGCTGGAGCGCAGCGGTGCAATCTCGGGTCACGGCAGCCTTTACATTCCGGGCTCCGCCCACCTCCTCCCCCTAAAGTACTGCCAGGCCCAGGCCGAGCATCTTTCCACCACTGTCAAAGGAAACCTTGATGACTTTTTCCCCACTCCAATATCCTACCAGCTCAAATTACAACCAACATGGGAATCCTCCCCAAGCCGGGCTGTTAAGACGCCTCCTCCCTATCCTCTAACCTTTTGTTCGATGAACAGCTCCTCTCGTCGCTTCCTCTTCTCCTTCAGGAGCGTTTTATCCCTGGGAAGAAGGGTGACAAGTCAGCAAAGGTAAGGACATGAGGGACGAGAAGGGGCTGTTCTCCCTGCCCCGCCGCGGGCCCCGAACCTGCGCACGGTCTCCCGCACTCGTCGCTCCTCTTCTCTCGCTTCCGCCTGGGCGCTGGCGAAAGTCAGCTCCTCCGGGGCCTCGTCTGATTCCTCGTCTCCTTCCTCGTCTTCCTCTAGCGGCTCGGCGGCCGCACCGCTGCTGGGCTGCCCGAGCAACAGCCCGTGCTCCGCCTCCTCCTCCGAGGCCGGCTGGCCCTCGTCCACCATAGCCTCTGCGGACACCGGGGCGCGAGACGCGCGCGGTCGGAGCTGCACCATGGCCTACACTGCGCGGAATCGTCTGACCTCTGACCCGGAAGCAGCTACAAGCTGAGCGCAAGCAGACTTTCATCGCCCCCTGCAGGTTCGGAGGCTCTCAGGGCGGGGCGCATGCGCGGAGCGAGGGCGTGGCCTATGGCCAGTGGGCGTATTTCTTTACACGTGGCCTGCGGAGGCCACCCGGGAGTCGGGTGGGTCCCACTGAAAATGTTCTGCCGGCGAGAGCGGCTAGCGGTGGGGTTGGTTTCAAGGCAAGGAAGAGCCGTCGCGCTGTCCTCGTCGTCTGGGATGGCGAGACAGGGCTGGTGCGACTCACGCAGGCCGGTGCTCGGAAAACGGGTAACCGCGGGCCTGGGACGCTTCTCGCCGCCGTTTTTTGGCCATGGGTTCCGCCGAGTGGATCCAGCTTGTCGGTGTTTGTAGATTTGGCGGCGTTCGCTCCGCACTTCGGAGGAGGTGGAGTTACATGGGAAGAAACACACTTTAGCAGATGGCCGCCCCGGCCAGCCAGCCCTGCTGTCATCGTCGATGACGCAGGCCACAGACCTGCCCGGCGCCCTCAGCCTGCCCAGCGCCGCAGCCGCGGCGACGCGTGTTAGGAAGTCAGCCTTGTGGAAGCGGCGCCCTTCCTGGTGCCGGGCTGGCCCGTAGCAAATGCTGAGCAAATCTGAAAGAATGGCTTCGCCGTTCCCTAGAGAATGCACCCAGAGTTTTGTGGTACATACACAAATGTACACTTTTTTTCCAAGTATATTTTATTTCTTGACAAACATGACGCTTCGTGATCGCCGTGTTTCTCTCCTCCTACCCATTATACAATACTAAATGATTCATCATTCTTTGAACAAATCAAGCTGTTTCACACCTGCCATGCATTTGTACCGACTGTGCTCTTCCCTCCACTGCCACAGTCCTCCAGGTAGAAGTCCTTTTTTTTTTTTTTTTGAGCCGGAGTCTCGCTGTGTCACCCAGGTTGGAGTGCAGTGGTGCAATCTCGGCTCACTGCAACCTCCACCTCCCAGGTTCAAGCGATTCTCCTGCCTCAGCCTCCTGAGTAGCTTGGATTACAGGCGCCCGCCACCACGCCCGGCTAAGTTTTGTATTTTTAATAGAGATGGGGTTTCACCATGTTGGACAGGCTGGTCTCAAACTCCTGACCTCAAGTGATCCACCTGCCTCAGCCTCCCAAAGTGCTGGGATTACAGGTGTGAGTGACCGTGCCCGGCCCAAAGTCCTTTTTATACTTCAAAAATTCCCATGCAGGCGAACTTCAGGCACCTTACCCCCAACCCCATCCCAGTGTGCCCATCTCTACTGTTCTCTTCCTTCTTTGCATTTCCTCAAAGCATTTCCTGTTGTGAGCTGCCCCTTGTTCACTGAGGTAATGTAGCCAAACAAGGTTAAAGACCCGCCAGTAAAGCCGTATCCTGGGGTAACATCTTTATAAAATAAATTACCTACTATAGAGAATGATTTTATTTTCTACTGAAACTCATGCAAAAATCACAATTAAAAGGTTTTTACCCCTCGACTTCTACCTTGCCCAAATAACAAAAATAAAACCAGGATAACTATTTTTAAAGACAATCTAATTTACTAAATTTTTCCCTCAATCATCGACATACATCAAAGATATCTTACTTTTCAGTTCAAATAATATGCATTAACTTTACAGTCCTGTAACTTATCCAAACCCCATCACTTATCAACAGGTTGGATTCCAGCTAGGGAATAAGAGGATATTTTTAGATTGTTCAATATTCAGCTCACCACCCATAAGACCATTTCTTCTCTGCGTGTGGCCTAGTTCTTAGATATAATTTCCTTCTTCCCCAGGATACTTAAGAAATAGTTTCATTTTCATGAGGGGCAAGGGCTTCAGGAAGAGTCGTTCCACAGGGTCCCTGGAAATGAAACCTGAGAGAGAAGCAGCAAATACAGCAGTTATGAACTACACGTTAGCAAAATCAATGCCTTACTTCAGCAAGCACTGATTCCTTAAGTGATATCCAAAGTAAAACCCAAATTCTCATAAGTACGGTAGTTTGAATTTTTATGCCCACTTCTTTCATCTAGTTTCTGACAACTCTAGTTATAACACTTCACTATGGACTGGCCTCTGTTACTAGGGGAATTTTGAGAAGCAATTGTCTAGAATGTATGTGCCATAAAGAAGAATTTTATTTCAAGGCTTAAGAGACATGATTGCAAAGTATATTTTGTTTTTTCAAACCCTGAGAACCTGTGCAAGTGAAGTGTATTTGGGGACTATATTGTCAAACTCATTGAAATTTTAAGTTTAGAATATACATATATATATATATGTGTTACAGATGTATTTTATATAAATATATGTGTTTTATGTGTATATATAACACATAATGTGTTTGGCATGTATATATATATATATACACACACACACTACATTTTTTTCTATGTGTATATACACACACACACAGAAAAAATGTTTTTTGTGTGTACATGTATTTTGTGTTACATATATATAAAACATTACGGCAGCATTCGCAGGTAGTACTGAGGACAAGAGAAAAATACTTGTGCACATCAGACCACCAGGATTTCAGCTGAGTCAACAAGCCTCTCAAACCATCCATTTGATTTTCTGACGAGTCTCTGAGCTGTAGTTAGAAAGTAGAAAAAAGAAAAAGAAGAAAAACAAAGGAGAAAAAAGAAAAATCATGGACTTTTGTTTCCTCCAAGGAAAACCACTTTGGAAAGGGGGAAAAAAACTATGAAGAAGAAGCAAAAGCAGGACTTTCTAGTGCATTATTAATAAGAAAACCAGTTGAGCACAATTAAAAATGGAAAAAGCGTTTCCTCAGTGCAATTCATTTATATTATTTATTCTTGACAGAATACAAATCATGACTGCCTTAGCCCTCAAATGCTCTGTTCTGTCAACAGAGTGCCACTTAATGGACAGCCCAGACTACGTGGTATCTCCAGTCCCTCTACCCCCCCACACCCACGGCCACATGCTAAGCACTGACTTCCAGAAAGCTCCTGGCCAGTATGTGGTTAGCCAGGAATTACCACCAGGCCTGGGGAGTGTTTAGGGAATTCCCAGATCCTCAGTTGCCACCTCTTCTCTTACTTAAGAAAGGGATTTCAAGTGCCCCTTTCCACATTCACCCTTCTTCCACCTTAAGAAAAGCAAGCTGGACCCCTCACCCATCTCCAATTTTACAACGATACCGCATCCCCAAATGTGAAAACATATGGGGTGCCAAATAGAGGGACATCTGGAATCCTGGCGTAGTTCTGACACATTCATATGCAAGTAGGGTGCTTTCAATAAAGTTGAAAGAGGGTCCAAAAGTATTTTCAGTGAACAGGTCACTAAATATGATACAAAATTACTCTGGGTATTTTGGCATATAACTTGGAAGGTGGTCCAAAATGGCAAGGCTATACCTACATTTCTTTCATGGCTGGGCACAGTGGCTAATGCCTATAATCCCAGCACTTTGGGAGGCTGAGGTGGGAAGATGGCTTGAGGCTAGGAGTTTGAGACCAGCTGGGCAACACAGCAAGATCCTATCTCTACAAAAAGTAACAGTAAAAACAGCCATGCATGGTGGCACGAGCCTGTAGTCTCAGCAACTCAGCGAGAGAGGATCACTTAAGCCAGGAGTTCGAAGCTGCGGTGAGCTATGATTACACCACTGTACTCCAGCCTGGGTGACAGAGGGAGCCCCCATCTCTTAAAAAAAAAAATAACTCCTTCATGCCCAGAGCTTAGGTGGCCCAGGTCTCTCAGTACTTAACATCTATAAAAAGCAAACACTGGTGGGGCACGGTGGCTCACTCCTGTAAGCCCAGCAGTTTGGAAAGGCCAAGGCAGGTGGATCATGAGGTCAAGAGTTCAAGACCATCCTGACCAACATGGTGAAACCATCTCTACTAAAAATACAAAAATTACCTAGATATTGTGGTACACGCCTGTAGTCCCAGCTATTCAGGAGGCTGAATCAGGAGAATTGCTGGAACTCAGGAGGTAGAGGTTGCAGTGAGCCGAATCGTGCCACTGCACTCCAGCCTGGCAACAGAGCAAGACTCCATCTCCAAAAAATAAAAGCAAACACTGAACATTCCAAGTGACATTGAAAAAGTAAAACTTAGCTTTGCTGGTCAAAATCTGCCTAGCGATTCTTTGGATTGGAATAAAAGACACGGGTAAAGCCAGCTGTAAAGTTAACAGGAAACAATGTTTTTTCCCCCTAGGATAAGCTACAGTGTCTTAATTCCATTCTTTGAGTGATTACTGCCTTTTGACTCACTGAAGAATTTTGTTCCTTAATATTATAAACTATCGGAAACTTTGCTATTAGAAATTATAACAGTAAAGAATGAAACATTCCTCTAGCCTTGAGCATCTATAAGTCACTTTGATACCGAGAAGCAGCCTAGATTTCCAACCCAGGTGCAGGGCTTCGGATAATGGGTTTCTGGACACAACATTCCACATCTGCCTAAACTATGTATCGCAGTTTCTGGGGGAAATGGGAACCTGGCCTACTCTGCCAGCCAGACATGATGCTGACCCCTTTACACTGTACAGGCCTGCTAGTTGCTTGAGTTTCTCAAAAACGACTTCATTTAAATTTCACTTAAACTCTACCCTCCCCCAACTGCTGTAATACCACTACCTTTTCCTCTGTTAGGAAACACACCTCTCAATTCTACTGAGGTGCATTAAAGTCAATAAACCTGATCTTGACAGAATACTGGTTTGTTTATGGTGACTGTGGGACGACTGGGCTAGAGCAAGAGGAACTGTCTCCTTCCAATAGTATGTAACACTCAGCCATAGAGACATGGACCAATTCAAAGTTTATGTCCCATTCAGCTATTAAGAATGTAATGCCTTGCCGGGTATGGTGGCTCATGGCTGTAATCCCAGCACTTTGGGAGGCTGAGGTGGGCAAATCCCTTGAGGTCAGGAGTTTGAGATCAGCCTGGCCAACATGGTAAAACCCCATCTCTACTAAAAATACAAAAAATTAGCTAGGTGTGATGGCACGTGCCTGTGATCTCAGCTACTAGGGAGGCTGAGGCAGAAGAATTGCTTGAACTCAGGGAGCGGAGGTTGCAGTAAGCTGAGACCACACCATTCCACTCCACTCTGGGCGACAAGAGCAAAACTCCATCTCAAAAAATAAATAAATAAATAAAAGAACGTATTTCCAATAAAATTTTACCTGTTTGGAATTGTTAATCTAAACATATATATATATATATAGTTTTTACAATTATGCACTGCAGATTACCATAGTGATGATTCTGTCTAGAAAACATTTAATAAAACATTTTTTAACATTTAAAGGAAACTGAAAAAAATTAAATAATTCATGCAATATTCTGTTGCAGAAGTGTGATAGGGTAGTCAGTAAAAGATTTTCTTTTTTTTGAAGACAGAGTCTTGCTCTGTTGTCGAAGCTGGAGTACAGTGGCACAATCTCTGTTCACTGAAACCCCCGCCTCCCAGGCTCAACAGATTCTCCCACCTTAGCTTCCCACGTCGCTGGGATTACAGGTGTGGACCATCACACCTGGCTAATTTTTGTATTTTTAGTAAAGATGGGGTTTTGCCATATTGGCCAGGCTGGTCCCAAATTCCTGGCCTCAAGTGATCCTCCACCCCAGGCTCCCAAACTGCTGGGATTACAGGCGTGAGGCATTGCACCTGGCCAGTAAAAGATTTTCATGCATAAAAATATATTACATTAGTATAAATTCTGTAGTAGTGATAGAATGGAACTACAGGTTCCAAGAGAAAAGAAAAAGTGTTAAGTTTTCAGTTGTTCAGGAAGGGCTTGTATGTTTATTTTATGAATGGATGGTGGTATGTTCCAGACAGTTATAACATTCAGATTGGACTGGACACATTTAAAACCGTGGCATGGTAGTTTTTACTTTAAAATGTCAGCATTTTGGCTGGGCACGATGGCTCATGCCTGTAATCCCAGCACTTTGGGAGGCCAAGTCAAGCAGATCACCTGAGGTCAGGAGTTTGAGACCAGCCAGGCTGACATGGAGAAACCCTGTCTCTGCTAAAAAGACATAAAATATTAGCCAGATGTGGTGGTGCACGCCTGTAGTCCTAGCTACTCGGGAGGCTGAGGCAAGAGAATCACCTGAACCAGGGAGGCGGAGGTTGCAGTGAGCCGAAATCGTACCACTCACTGCACTCCGGCCTGGGTGACAGAGCCAGACTCTGTCTCAAAAATAAATAAAATAAAATAATAAATAAATAGATAAATAATGTCAGTGTTTCCAATGCACTTGGAATCACATCTCTCCAACTATAATATTTTTGGTTTGAAAAACCTTAGATGTCAACTTTTAAAATGTGAAAGGCATACATGAACAATGTTTGAAAACCTCTTTTCTAGCACACCCATGCACTCTGCCTGCCCCCACCAGCTGTAGGGCAACCAGGACTACAGTGTTAGTTCCAAATCTGCTCGTGCCACTTTTACTGGTTAATGTAGTCATCTCGCTGAATTTAACATTATGTAATAAACCACCAAAACAGAATGTTAAGTTATTTCTAGGAAAACTAGTTGAATGTTTGGGAAAGACATGACATGCTGAGTCATTAAATATAATTCTGTTACACTAGGTATAGGAGTAAAAGAGGGGAAGATTGCTTCGCATTTTTCTTTTCCTAAGATCTTGCTCTGCTTTAAAAGAAATTAAAAAAACAAAAACAGACAAATATCAAAAACTAGAAGTTGTAATCCTGTGTTTGCCAAGTTTCTTGATAAGAATCACCTGGGTCATTTGCTAAATAAACAGATAAACAGACATCTCCTCCTGAAAATTCTGATTCAGGAAGTCTAGGTAGGGGCCTTGGGATCTGGTTTTCTCCGTTGTCTGTTTTGTTTCATAAA